ACCAAATGAAAATCTGCTCAAAGACTGTAGGTCTATCATTTGAGAAACTCTATGAATCAACCTACCATAAGTCAGCCATGTCCTGAACAGCTAACAGGTTATTAATAAGATCAAATTGGAGATACACCCCCACGATTTCATACAGATTGGTGCACTCTTTTGTGCAGCAGATCCTCAAATTAAATACAGAGATTAATCCCAGATCAAATGTACCAATAGAAACTAATCTAATGATCAACCTGTGCAGAAAGGATAGAGGCTAGTAAAGAGATGAAGTCTTGCTCACTTTATAGAGCCAACATTAACTTCAAGCCAACCACTAACCAAGCCGCAATTAAATAAACATTTCCTGCAAACACACCACTGATGATGCTTGCCAATGCCACCAGATTAGAAGAAACATCACCACTGAAATTTCTGCTTTCTACAGAAATGTAATAATCACATTTATCTCAGGCTCTATTTATCCATCATTAGCACTTGTGAACTAACACCAAACAGTATGATTTTGTCATTATGGTTAACTTTAGACCCTAACCTGATCATTTTTACAAATTGTTGCTTTGTTCAAACCTTCAGAACTTTCATTCAAATTCTTTTTCAGTTCTTTATGATTTGGTTACGGGGCAAAAACGTTTCAACAGGCCAAAAAAGAAAGAAAAAGTCCAAATAAAAAAACAAAAATGTGTCAAAACACAATCTTCACCAACACATGCAGCATTTACTGAAAGGGCTGCATAAACAAAACGCTGCAAATAAAGAAAACTGCAAGAAACTCATAGCATGACAGAAACCAGGGGACACTAAAAAGTGACGCACACAGATTGGACCGAAGCGCTTTTTGATGTTCAGGATTATAAAGCTTGACAACTGTCTCTGTTGCCAGAGTGAGTCTGTTTAATAACTGTAAGTGTTTGTCAGTATATTTGAAATGACTAGGTTAGCTACTTTAGATTGCTATCTTAAAGCAGATCTGCAATTACACGATCAAATTGTTAAAATAAGCAGACAAATACATACATTTTGGTAAGTCTCCAGTGACAGTCGGCCAACTCTATAAACCCCGAATGTCACCAAGCATACTGGTCCCAGCTGTGTGCAGCGCTTTTTAGTGTCCCCTGGTTTCCTTTGTGTTTTGAGCATCTTACAATTTTGTTTTACCCTTACCCTTATAGTATACGCCCCTCATGTGTTGTCAAGTTGGTGGATGTTTGTTAATTTGCATGTGTTTTGGCACATTTTCCAATTATTTGCACCGTTTGCACTTTGCAAGTGTTTGAGTCCGCTGTAGTCCATTTGCACCTCGGCCTCCTAACATTTTGTCTTGTTGAAGCAATAACCCTGATTTGTCAGTCTATTCCGTTATTTGTCTTTAAAAAAACGTTTTTGTTCGCAAAAACAACTATATATAACTATGCTTCTTTTTTAACCTTTGACTTCAGACATAAAACTAGGCTACATCTGAAATCCACATTATTAAAGGGGACCTATCATGCAAAATGCACTTTTTTATGTCTTTTATACATAAATGTGTGTCCCCGCGGTGTGTCAGGGAACTCACGCAGCATCAGAAAATAAAACCCTCTCTCTTTTCCTCCGTACCCAAATCTCTAAAAACAGGGGGTACAATGGAGCTGATCAAGATTTGCGCCCGATATGATAAATATCGGAAATGTGGACCCACAGCACTATCAGAAAGTTGCTATCAGAAACAATTTTGGACTGTAAAAACTGTTTTGGACGTAATATGGTCAGTGCTGTATAGCATGTGTGTGAAGAAGCTGGATATAAAAAGGAACTCACCTTGTGGTGTAACCGGCAAGAGGGAAAGCCTTTGAGCTCCATACTGTTTCAGCAATAATCCTTGATAATCCATGATATGGCGTTTCATCCAATTACCCGGTATCACGGCAAGACGTGAACATGTGACGATTTACCATGCTGGGAGACGTGAAGATGTCACGATTTCCTCCCTTCAAACGTGACAGTTACACGGTATTGTTAACCCATGTTAACCACTGGAGAAATAACCGGAAATGTAAATGCTACCCCAAAGTAATGATTTATTTTGTAATAGTCACACTCGATTACGCCGATTTTCTTGTTGCCCCAGGTGGTCGACATCTCTTTTAGCAGAAACAAAGGCTACATTAATGTATTAAATCGATGTTAATCCATGCGTGTGAATGTGGAATTAACGGACGTGACGTTGTGCGATTGTTTTGTAAAAAACAAAAAGCAAACAAATTAACAAGACAAACATGTCGCTGATGACGATGACCTAATTATTTTATTTATAAGGAAAATATATGCTAGAGGGGGTAGCACCAGAAAAGTTTTTTTTAAGCTTCTTCTTGCCCCTGTTGAACATGACAGAGACTATTTGAGAATTATTATTGTTTTTTTAGTTGTTTTTTTAATTTATTTTTAATTTTTTTGTACTTTGTTATAATTATTCATGAGTGAGAAAAAAAAAAAAATATATATATATATTATTTTTGTAGGTTTTTGTTTCTGACATGTTCAATAAATTGACAAAAAAAAAAAAAAAAAGTTGCCAGACAACAGCTTTGGTTCATGTTAATTTACAAACTCTTCAACTTCAACCGTAGTTATATTTAAAAACATGTTAGAAGGCCTCACGAAATACTTTAATGCAAATTAAAATGTAAATGTGAAGGAATGTGTGTATGACAAATATATCTGTCATAAACGAAACCGGAAACAGTCGTAGGCAAGATCCTCAGCTCGACGATTGGATGGTTTAGCCGCAATGCATGCTGGGATTTGGTGTTTATGTGATGTGAAATCCGAAAACCATCCATCCATCCATCTTCTCCCGCTTATCCGTGGTCGGGTCGCGGAGGTAGCAGTTCCAGCAGAGAGCCCCAAACTTTATTTTCCCTGGTCACATCAACCAGCTCTGACTGGGGGATCCCAAGGCGCTCCCAGGCCAGCGAAGAGATATAATCCCCTCCACCTGGTTCTAGGTCTACCCCTTGGTCTCCTCCCAGCTGGACGTGCCTGGAACACCTCCCTAGGGCTAGGGAATGCCAAGGCACAC